CTGCTAATGTTTCTTTCAATAAATCTCACCTAGCAGCAAGTGTTTTGCAAAGCCCTGGACAGTCTACTTCTGAACTCCCCTCCTCTCTCACTTCAGAGCTTATCTCTCAACTGAATGTCTCATTCCTTGCACCCTCAGCTAAGAAGAAAGTACGCACACTACTCCTCCTTACTTCCAAACACCAAATCAGGCCCTTTCACACTACCACCCAGTTTCCTTGGAGAACTCTCTGCCTCCTTTTCTGCCTGGCAACCTCCTGATCATCCTTCAGTACCCAAGTCTCACAGCCCCTCCTTGGTGCAGTCTTCCCTGTGTGCTGCTCTCCTCTCAGTGCTTCCAGAGCACTTGGTATGGCTCTTTATAATGCTGATAAGGGAGCTATGAATGTCATCATATACATCTGTGCCACCACAGGCCAGGTCACAAGTCCTAGGAGTAAAGGGACTAGGTCTTACTCACTTTTGCATCCCAAGAACCAAGCCCAGGACCTGGCATTTGGAAGTCCCATATTAAATGTTTGACACCTCAGTCAATGCCTTGCCTATTTTTCCCCAGCCCTCCCTTCTGTGTGCAGAGAGCCATGTGAAATGTGGAGCCAGGAAGGGCTTTAGAGTCAGATACCCTGTGTTTGAGTCCTGGCCCTTGTGGGCAGGGACAAGTTATTTAACCTGTAACTGTCTCAATTTTCTCCCCAATATAACAGATAGATATGCCTACCTCTCAGAGAGCTGCTATGAGGAAAAACAAGGTAATATATGTAAACCTAGTGCTTGCCCAATGCAAAGTGCTCAAGATGCATTTCCTTGAGCTCAGCAGGAAGTGTTGGGTCAAATGGAGTTCTACAGAAAAAGTGAGTGGCTTCCATTCTGGTTTATGTGCCATCAGCATAGTGACAGGATGGCCAGCCTCTGACAGAAAGAGCCCCTCTCAGAGCCAGTGAGAGTGTAATCCATGCCGTTTGCTGGAGGTTCTCACAACAAGGCCTGCTTAGCAACAATGCTCATGTGATTTTGATTTGAATGGCAAACTCACAGGAGGATACTCCTGCTAAGGCTGGGCCATCATATAGCCTTCATTTCCTGTCTTGAATTAATCTTTCACCCCAAGACACATCATAAAACAGAATAATGGCAACTCAACAGTGTTAAGTCACTAAGTACAAATCAAAACAGCCTGCACATGAGAAGCCTAAACCTCTCCATGCTGTTGCACCCAGGTTTTATTAGGCCTTGATAAACAATGAGGTAGGAGCAGTGGGGACCCTGCTAACACCTGAGACATTCAAGTGCAGGGTGGAGGAGAAAAGAGGAAGGTACGGTGGCTGAACCCACATGAGGAGGCAACATGGAACTGTGGAGAGAGCTACTTGCTGGGAATCAGGAGACTTGGCTTCTGTCTCACTTCTATCACCGGCTTGCTCTATGGGTGTGTTCGAGTCATGTCTCTGGGCCTCAATTTCTTTACTAATAAATGAGAGAAGTGGATTAAAGGATCTATAGTTCTTTTCAGCTTTAATACTTTACAATTGTAAATGTTAGAGGCAAATCCACCTTCCCGACCTAGCCTTTCCCCTTTTCATGTTGGTTATTCATCTGAGATATCTCTCATCTCTCACTGAGCAACCTTCTACCAATGCTATTCCCTTTATTTCTCCAAAGTGTCTGGTCACCCCTGATCACAAGGGTTGGCCAACTTGGGGCCATATTCTTAAGAACATATTGACTACCCTCTGATCAAACAACTCAGTACAATCCAGGTACCCTGGGGCATCAAGGACTTGAAAATCCCAACAACCTTTAATCCCATTTTCCTCTGATACTAACCAACTTTCACTCCTTAGATCTCTAACAATCTCACCAGGTTAGAGTTTTCTCCCATGCTGCTTGGCAGGAGACTAGGGCAGCAACAGGGAGTTCTTATCTGCACTCTGGCATAACTCAGGGTGGGGCAGGGGAGAGATGGCAAAGCTACAAAGGTCAGGATGAAAGTGCTTACAGAAGCAAGATCTGACCACATGAGGAGGAAGTGATCTGGAGGAGAAGACAGTGCTAATCACAAGGACAAACTGAGAGAGGCACTGAGGACCAGGACCACAGAAGTCAAGGAGACTTCTTTAAGATGCCACCAAACTTCCACCCCTCCCTGACTTCCTGAATAAGAAATCTGAAGGCAGCTGAGGTTCTATGATTCGCCCAAGGCTACATAGCTAAGCTGTGGACAGCCAACACCAGAACATGGGTCTCTTGGTCTCAGCCCACTCTTGTTTCTACTCTATTCTGTTGACCTCAAGAGTCTAACGAGGCCAGCTGGATCCCTTGCAGACTCTAAGAAACATGACCCAAGTGTCACTTAGGAAAAGAGCAGACCCAGCAGATATTTTGATAACTGCCTTCCGGAGCCTATGAATTCTTTCCCATCTCGACATGGTTTTCTTGTTCTTTCTCCAACCCTTGCCACAAAAATATGGAAAAGTTCAGAGGTCAGTGACAAGGAAGAGGTAGGCTCCCTTGACCCTACAGAACCCTGCATATCTAAGATAATACACACCTGTCCCTCTTCCTCAGTCTAGAGAAGGTTGGTGGGGGAAGGGTAGAAGGAGGAGATGAGTGAACTGCCTGGAAGGCTGACCTGTTTAGGCCACAGGTATTATTCATGGGCAATTAGATGGGTCACTGAAGGTCTGTGACAACAAACAATAGGATCTGCTTCTGCCAAGGACCTCTCATAGATCAGTGTCTAACATATCATCTCAGTGTCAGGAGGAGGAAGCTCCAAGTAAAAGTCAAGAAATTAATTATTCAGTGTGCGTGACCTAGTTCCCAGAGGTAAGGGTGGGTGAGAAGACAGCTCACCAGTTCCTTATCATGGCAAGAAACTCAAATATTCCACAGGGTAGTGTTCTCTTTGCTGCCAAAGAGGGTCCACTTATGGTTAAGAGTGGCCAAAAAAAAAAAAAAAAAGCCAAAAGTCACTCATTCCACAAGTGTTTACTGAGCTCCTCTTATGTCTCAGGCCCTCCAGGGATTTACTATGGTTGGAGTTTAGCAGAGGAGAGACATCATGGAATTTATAAACAGCAGGACTGGGCCATGCCCCAGCTCAGCCCTTAGACAGCTGCATTGCCTTGGGCAGGTTAAGCCTGCTTAAGGCAAATTTCTCATCTGTAAAATGGGAGAAGTCCACCTGCTTGATCATGAAGATGAAATGACCTTTATAAAACGTAAAGTGCAAAGAATATGAAGTGTAAACAATCATGATACAACATGACACACTTCCCCTGCCCCAGAGAAGTGTATAATTTGGGAATGCTTTGGAAAATAATCCAGGGTACCTATTTGGCAAGCATCACATTCTCTGTAATTTGGGGAGATTTTATGTTTCACCCTGCCAATGGAGATGAAGCTGGCAGTCAGTCCCAGTCCTCAAGTCCAGGAAGTTGCAAGAAAAGGTGGAGTGAACACAGAAGAGTAGCCAGGACCCACCTGGCCCTGGGTCAAGCCTGGATTGAATGGATGAGCCAGGAGGGACCCAAGATTCCAAGGGGAAGAGAGAACAGCAGCACATGTGCTCAATCAGAAACAGAGCAGAACCAAAATTCATCTGAAGGCAACAGGATTGCGCCAGCCAGAACTGCTCACACTCCCCTCCCCACACACATTTCAGACAACGTTGGAATTCACTGTTCATCGCCCGACCCTCCTCTGTGGACAAACTGTATTCTGTTTCTCCAGAGAGGGGACCGTTTCTCAGGCTGTGGCAGACTGGCCAATCAGCTCTCTGTCTGGGTCTTTCCCCAGATACTAAGAATGAGAACTCCTGGAGCAGCTTTCCCTGAGGTCCAGTCAACCCCTTGTCATCCTGCCATTCAGGACTCCCGTGGACTCCTCACCCCACGTGATCCCTCAGCGCCCACCAGGCCAGCTGCCAAATGCCCTGACACGCACGCTGGCTGCCCCTCCGCTGGGGCCTCCACCCATGCCCAGGTTTCTTGGATTGGGTCCTGATGCTCTCCCCTCACACTCACCTTCATCCTCCCTCCTCCCACAACTAAACTGAGCCTCTTCCAGGCCCTGCCAAGGTTCACATGTCCAGGGAAGCTCCCGGAGAGAAGGGTGAGTTTTATTCATCCCTATGTTCCTTCTAACTCATGGCTTTCTGTGAGTTCTTTGCCCTCCTGTAAACACAGATTTATGGTCCCAAAATGTTCTCTGATTGCTGTATACAGGAGCAGAGCAGAGAAGAAGGGAGGAGGGGTGCCAAAACGCCAGACTAGAAGTCCAGGGCCTGCATTTTGATTCTCCATTGGACACCAGTGAGTCCTGTCACCTTGAGAAAGTATCTTCAGGCCAGGCCTCAGTCTCCCTGTTTGGCAATGAGGGGTTTACTCTAAACAACCTTTCTAATTATAAGGTTTGACATTACAGAAACCAGGCTAGCCTGAGACACAGAAGACCTGAGTCCTAGGCGCTTATTAGCCTACCACCTGTGGCAGGCTATCCGACTCCTCAGACCCCAGCCTCCACATCTATAAAACAAACAAGGATAATATGACCACCCCACCCAGGGCACAAGGTTCCCATGGAACACTGTCCGTGATAAAGCTTTGTGGACCGTAAAGCCCTGATTAAACCTCAGGGTTGAGACTCCTTGAGTCCACAAACAGCTGCTGGTCCCCTGTGATGTGCCTGGTACTGTACCTGCCGAGAATTGCTGCCTGGCTCAGACAGGAAAGCTAGAGTCTGGTTCCTTGCCCTCAAGGCTCCCTCAGCCGGTAGGTGGGACAAGCAGATGAACGAACCTTAACTCAGTGGTGTATCTGAGGCATGAACACAGCGCTAGGGGAGTGCAGAGGAGGCGGTGCTGACTCAGAGGGAACAGCGCGCCCTGGGCATGGCAAGCTGCCCCAGGATGGTGGGAACATCCCACACTTTCCTAAGCCTAGGACCAGCCCCCAGGAGCTACTCCATGGTAAACAAGATCTACCACTGTGACTTACTCACTGGATTCTCAGGCATCACAGTGGTTAAAGTCTTCTCTTTCTGGGATGAGACACACACAGGTTGCCATGTTCCTTTAAAAACAAGAGCCCAACAATTAATGTCAGTGACATCATCTTAGCTTACGCCTCCTTTCTAGTCTCCTCCAAGAGGTCGCGCATGCTTGTGCACTTTGCCTTGTGGGACACTTCACCCAGCAAGAGGAAATGGACAAAGAATCTCTCTCTGTGCTCCAACAAGTTTTGCACATGAAGAAAGGCATAGCACGATGGCTAAACAAATTCTATTGTTGGCTGCAGTCAGGGCACCCTAAGGGCTTATCAGATCTCTACACAAAGACTTTGCTGAGGAGTAGGAGGGATCTGGAAAACAATGCTTTATTCGCTGCTTTAGTAAAAACAGAAAGTGTCAGAATTTCTAAGCATGAGACACAATGAAAGTAAATCAAGCAGGTGTAAAACTTGATAACAAGTCCCCAGTGTGACACTGGTCCCATTGTCTAACGCTGAGTAAACTAGGGAGTTATGAAAGTGCACCAGCTGATCATGGCTGAGTTTCCTAAACCAATTATTCTCTTGGCTTCTAGTGACAACCCACATTATTTGATGACATCCTATTACTTCTGCAGAACATACCTCTACAGCTGTTTGGAAAACGAAGCCCAGAGTTACAAAATGTTTCTAATGATTTACCTCCACATTAAAAAATAAATCAAAATATTTAGGAAGTAACCTCAAGGGGACAAAAACTAACACAGTTGTGAAATTTGACATCTATAAGAGGCAATACTCATACTCCAGGGAGGTATACGTGCACTTTGCTCAACAGAGTGGTGCCTACACACACACACACACATACACTCTCCCACACACACACACTCTCTCTCTCTCTCTCTGGCACACAAAGAGCACACATCGTTAGAGTGCTGGGAGATGGGATTCCATTCACTGTTCAAAATTCTCAACCTGTTAATGGGAGAGAGCCTACGAAGTGCTGTGTACCGGTCACACATGGAACCATCAAGGGTGGAGACTACACCTGCTTTATCTCAATGGCTTCTCACAGACAGCAAACAGAGGCTTGCAGAACAGACGGCACTTGCCAAGGCCCCAGAGCAAGGCAGGATTGGAGCCCAGGACCAGCTGCCCCAGTGCTCATGGTTTTTCCCACCCAGCTGAGGGGAAGGTGTCCTGGACATCAACTCTGACCATAGCCCTGGTGGGCCCACACACTGGGCGAGCCTGGCAAGTTCCAAGGGCGGCCACCTGGGCAGAAGCGGCAGCCCTGCCCGCCCATCATCATCATTATCAAGCCCACACCCCTCGGGGCCTGTGCCAGCTGACAAACAGGCCGGCTTGCCTGGGCCACATTCTATCAGCCTGAGCTGCAGGCTCTGTGCTGCTGCTTCCAGCCAGAAGTCAGAGTGGCTAGAGGCCTTGACTTGCCTGCCCCCTGCTTCTCAAGGGGAGCTTCTGGGAGCCGTGGGTGGGGAGCTGGACATCCTGGTACAGAATTGCATCATTGGTCCAACCAGAGTTTCAGAAGCCAGGGACCCTGTCAATGCTTTCTAGATCTCAGGAACAGAAGTTCCTGTCCACGCTAGGGCATTGTGGAGACCAGCAGCAGGGACACGGGGCTCTCTAAGGTTCTGCTTGGGTTGTCTTCATGGTGGGTTGGAGGTAGGTATGACTGGACCAGGCTACAAGGGCTGACCACCAGTCAGATGCTCACAAAGGCCTGGGCACAGTGTCCAGCCACTCAAGGGACCAACTCGTACCCTCTGTCTGACCAACAGCCAAATACACTTTGAGCTCCCTGTAACACCAACAAATTAGAAGGTCCTAGAGTCCAATACCTTCTGGCCTTTGAGTGTCAGGGCCTCTGTTCCCTCATCTGTAAAATGAGGAGCTTGATACAATTGGTGATTTCCTCACCTGGGACCCCATTCAGTGGCCCTGCTCCAGGTACCCTGACTTTCAGAGACACCAACAAAACTACTTAGTTGTTGTAAAAGGGAGGGATTAACCTGTGCACAGGTATTGCCTTGGGTAGTTAACACTGCTACCTCAGCTAATACTCCCAGCAACCCTGTAAGACAGGTAGTACAGTATCGTTACAGAGGGGGAAACTGAGGCATGGCCCAGCGAAGTACCTCACCCAAAGTCTCAATGAGCAGAGACCACAGCAGCCCTGGGACTACCAATGGAGCTGGCCTGAGTCCACACCCATGCTCATTCCCTGACACGATATTTTCCTTTGTAATCAACCAGCATGAAGAAATGCCGTCTCTCCTTGGACTTGCCATCAGGCCAGTGTCGAGCAAAGAAGCATGAGGTCTCTGGTCCCTCGTGGGCCTGATTTGGGTGATACAGGGAAGGTTTCCTGTGAGATTAAGTGGGACATGACAGGCCCAAGTGACAGGAACTCCGGGAACCTTCCTCTTGGATGTTTTTCAAGTCTAAGTTCTTCCCTGAGGGACCCCAGCACTCGGACAGGGCCTGGAGCCTCCAGGCACTCAGTAAATATTTGTTGAATGAAGAAATGAATAAACTCAGAGTTTCAATGCACTAAAGACTTGTTCAAGAACCATCTGGTGTAGGTCAGTGTGAGATATATCAAGACCAGCTAAAACCTCACAGCTGACCCCTCAGCAGCATGCAGCAGGTAGGGGTCTCCACATCCCAGCCCCCCCCCCCCCCCCACTGTGGACAAAGACTCAGGTGCTGAGCCAGACCAGGGGAGCTTCAGACAGAACAAGAGAAGTGTTACCCACTGAGGCAGTTAGGAACTTGGGCCCTACCATCAGGCAAACCAAGGGTCCTATCCCAGCTCTGTCATTTTAAATTAGTTGGATGGCCCTAAACAAATCACATCATCTCTGTGAGCCTCAATTTCTTATTTTAAAATGTGGATGATGTTAGTACCCACTTCACAGGGCTTCTCTGAAGATTAACTGAGATAACGCTATAAAGGACTTAGCGCGCTGCTCGCTCAGAGCAGGTGCTTCAAGGTGATGTCTGTTATTATCTGCATCAGAGTGGGTAGTTAAGGGCACTTCTGGAGCGCTCTGCTTGGATTCAATTCCAGCTCTCCTCCTAACTAGCTATGTGACTTTGGGCAAATTGCTTAACTTCTCTCTACTTCAGTTTCCTGGTATGTAAAACGGGTTGACGGTGAAGATTAAATGAGTTATGCAGGTAAAGAGCTTAGAATGTGTCTTGCAAAGTAGTTCAAGAAAAGTGAGTATTATACTTAATTATTAATATTACTAGTATTCTTCTCTTTCTCTCTCCTGATAACAGACTCCACCCCATCTCCCACTCTCCAGCCAAAAAGGAGGGTATAGGACTCAAGGTGGGTTCATGGGAGTATCTTTTCTCCTTAGCAATGGTACGAGGGGTGTGCACATGCTCCAGGCCAGGCCAAATTCCAATCTGAAAACTCCTGGGGAAGGCCTGGTCCTCTCAGGTTGGCGACAGGGCTGTGTGGGGCCAGCTGGGAGCTGCCTGCAGCCATGGTGCACTGAACAGGGGACTCTGGTCTGGGGATGCTGGAGGTCACATGCTGCCTTCCTGGGGCTTGATTCTTCCGCACCTCTTTCGAATCTTTGAGCCTCCCCGAAATCTTCCAATGTATCCTTTTTAATCTAATTTTTTTGTGTGTGTAGAGACAGGCCCTTGCTATGCTGACTATGCTGATCTTGAACTGCTGGCCTTGAGCGCTCCTCCAGCCTCAGCCTCCCAAAGTGTTGGTATGAGAGGCATGAGTTATGCATCCCATTTTTGCTTAAGCTCATTCAAGTTTGGTTCCTGTGCCTTGAAACCAAAAAACTCTCAATTAATAATAGCCCTCAACAAGTGCCTGCTTTATCATCACCAAATCCCACCCAGGAGGAAAAGCCAGCTGCACACCTGGTGAGACCCAGGCAGCCAAGTGAGAGCAAATATGTACAGCAAGGTATTTACAGACTGAAGTGAGGGGAGGCCACTGCAAGCCCCTGGACCAGGGCCCTTCCTGGGAGAAGAAGGTACTGAAACCAACAGCAAGCAGCCCAGCCCTGTGCTTCCTGGCTGAGAACCGAGCCTCAGACCCAGCCCCGGGGCCATGCCTATTATGAAAGGGGAAGAAGAGAAAGAAGGAAGTTAAAGCTGATTTTCATTGACTTTGAAGTGGTGCAGAAAAAAAAAAAAAATCCAGATAGCTATTTAAAACAACTCTTTTTAGAGGAAGAAGTAAGGAAGAAAGCAGGGAGCATGGATAAGTGAAGAAAACTTGCCTTGTCTGAGTACTTAAATGTGCCATGCACTGTGGGTCACACTCTTTGAGTTGTATAATCTTGTTTAATATTCAATGAAACACTGGGAACTGGATGATCATCCAGCCCATTTTCCAGGTGAAGAAACTGAGGCTCAGAAAGGTCAATAACTAACTCACCAAGGTCATGCCACTAGTGCCTCGTACCTGTTCCACCCAATGCACTCCACCTCCTCAGTACATTCTGACTTCAATGGAGCCTGAGCTCTTTTTCTCACACAGCCCATTTCTACTGTCACTCACATCTGTGCTCAGATCCCTCAGAGGTGATGGCAATGTCCTGCTGCTCCTTTATTCATAACTACTCAGAGGAAAGGGCAGCACTGAGACACAAACAGGATAGGCAGTATCTTGACAGCCCAGGTACATCCTTGGGCAAGTTTCCTTTTTGAGACCTTAGTTATTTCAATCTCAAAGAGCTCTAGTGTGATTTTACTGGATGGCATGTATCAGTGGGTTTCCTGCTCTTGAGGGCAAGATTTGCCTATGCCTGATAAGCAGCCAACAGGCTGTAAAACATCATCTCCCTTGCATGTTTTTTGTTTTATTTTTGTTTTTTTTCTCAGTCACCTGTCCCAAGAGATTCTGACTTAACAGGGATGACTATAGTGCCTGATGCATAGCATTGTGCTAAACAATATTATCTTTGCTTGTCTCACTTACTCACTACTTTCTGGACCGGCACCCAAAGATGATCTATTCCCGTACCCCATGCCTACTAATAGCACGGGTTTAATTTCCTTCAGGAAAAGAAGTTGCA